GTAGGAAAGGATTGAGAAAGGATTGTGGAGAGGATCATCTTAATGTGAGTGTATGGAATATGCGAGAAAAATTATTAGATAGCTCGGACTGGGATTCGAACCCAGAACATTCCGAAGACATGTCGGCTCCTCTACCATTTGAGCTATCCGGTCTATACTAAATTTCCTTTCACTTAACTAAGAGATACTCTTAATATGTATCTAGAGATAGATCATTTTTGAATGCAGCCTAAGTACTTATCATAATAAATTGACTATCGGTGAAAATGATATGAAACTTTGAAAAGTTATAGATTATAAATTTTTTTAAACTACAATATTATCTAATATGAACTTTTAGAAGCTTGAAAATTTTGATGGTAAAATATTTATTTAAAAATTCAATCTTTACTCTGTATCATACCATTCAGTATCTCGGTCATTATTAAAAAAAAAAATTTATTTGCTGTATTTACTTTGTTGCTTTTTATTGCTAATTAATCGCTCTAATTAGAATTTTGTTGGTTGATTAGATACCGATCAATCGTTAATAATGTCGGTCAATGCTGAATTGTGTCAATACTAACATTGCAGATATTATTGTATTGCTTTTTGGCCAAATTACAATAAATATTTTAATTAATGATTTCTGTCCATCGGGCTTCAGTTACATTTTTTATATTTTATGGTATTTTATTTTATTTAAGATTAATATTTTTATAAAAAATAACATTTACGATTTCATTGAATCGAGGAGAAAAAAATTTAATTTATAAAGATTTACAGAGTAAAAAAATGTATTTTTATTTTATAAAAACAATTTTTTTTATTGACATAGATCAAATTTTTGATATAAACATCAGAAAAAAATTTTTTCCATGTAATAATAACTAGCAATAAAAAACAATAAAAAATGAATACTATGTATCTCTAATATTAACTCAGTAAACTGACAAGTGAAATGTAAAATATTCATTGATAAAATAAAAAGAAAAAAAAAAATTCTGCATAGCAAAATATTTTTTTACAGATTTTAAATCTAAAAACTCTGAATATTTTTTTCTTCAATTAATAATTACAAGTCAATTTAATAATTCTCGGTATAATATATCCTACACAATCATAAACTAGAGGGTTTACATCAATAATTTAATTCATAAAATAACAATTTTCATATTATCTTATACCCCATATACCCTGTAATGATTTTTCCATAACCAGCGATTGAAACTCTCTTAGTCTCTACACCTACTGAACAATTTCAACATTACCGTCGCCATAACCATATCCATTACTATTACCATTATTATCATTATCATTATTATCACTAAAGTCTAAACATATAACATTATGTATCGAAGATTGTGTACAAGAAGTATGTATACAATAAAGCACGTCGACTAAAGAACGGCGCGATGAATAGAGATGTATAAATGCATCGAGTGTAATCTTATCTGATATTCCTCAAGAATGGGAGCAACGAAAATATCATCCATGCATCTACATACATGTATACTCAATTACTTATATATTCTCAACAGACGATATAAAGCTCAGAAAGAAACGAGCGCACAATGAGGCTCAGAGAAAGCTCATGCGCGATCAAACATCACGCGGATTCACGACGTGCATAATACTTTTTCTAAAGTATAAAATAATTTGACTTTCATATAAAATAATAATAATATTAATAAAAATAATAATAATAATAATAATAATAATAACTAGCAACCTTGCAGTCACTATGTGACTGCCGTGACTTGTGAATTATAAATAAATAAAATTTTGATTTATTAAATAATGACTTTTGTTAAATTACACTGTACTTTTTTAATTATTGACATTTTTAAAGATATAAGCTCATCCCGATGTTACACTCGTCGAGACCTTTCATTTGAGTACCCACATCAATTTTTCATATATTTATATATATTATATATATGTATATATGAAAAATATATCAAAATGCATGTGGGTACTCAAATAAAAGCTCTTGATGAGTTTAACATCGGGATGAGCTTATATCTTTAAAAACGTCAATAGTTAAGAAAATACAGGGCATTTTAACAAATATCTTGTGAATTATTGACTTTTTTAAATATATAAGCTCACCCCGACATTACAGTCATCGAGACCTTTTATTTGAGTACCCACATCAATTTTTCATATATTTATATGTATTACATATATGTATATATGAAAAATATATAAAAATGCATGTGGGTACTCAAATGAAAGCTCTTGATGAGTTTAACATCGGGATGAGCTTATATCTTTAAAAACGTCAATAGTTAAGAAAATACAGGGCATTTTAACAAATATCTTGTGAATTATTGACTTTTTTAAATATATAAGCTCACCCCGACATTACAGTCATCGAGACCTTTTATTTGAGTACCCACATCAATTTTTCATATATTTATATGTATTACATATATGTATATATGAAAAATATATAAAAATGCATGTGGGTACTCAAATGAAAGCTCTTGATGAGTGTAACATCGGGATGAGCTTATATCTTTAAAAATGTCAATAATTAAAAAAGTACAGTGCAATTTAACAAAAGTCATTCCTGGTCTGGGCCATCCATATTATTTTTTCAGTCAAATTTATTTCTAATGACAAATTTAGATATGAATTGACAATAAATTGTTTATACCTGGAGGGAATACAGGCTAACAAAATTATGAATAATTAGAGAAAAAAATTGTTGTATTAGACTGGATAGCCAATAAACTGAAAAATTTTCAATAACTTAGGTCAGAAAAATATCTATAAAAATAATAATAATAATAATAAATAAAAAAAATTTTAAAAAGCTGTTTGTAAAACTTGAGACGTTTTTTTTTTCGAAAGTATTAAAAATACCTAAGTATCACATAACTGGTGACTAGGGAATGTAAGTCACTTCCTAAAATCCCCATTTAATGGAGATAATAACGACACGATTGAATAGACACAGATAATCCGGTCAATTGTCATAGTCACAATGTTCTGCAGAAAAAGCTCAAATTCAGCTCATATAAATATAAAAAAATAAATATAAATGTAATCGAAAAATAGAAGGCGCTTAAGCGGATGAAATTGCCCGTTCGCGCGGCTTAATAGACTACCAAAATACGTCCCATCAATTTATCCCCGCTGCATATATCCGTATGCAGAAATCTGTCGGAAAAACTCAGAACAAAAGTGAATTGAGCTTTTACCTAAAGTTTTCTCTTAATTTAAGATAGTTGGGTCATGCGAGAAAAATTTCAAGAAATTTGTAATATAAGTAATTAAATGCATAGTGCACATGCTGTTAAAATTTGGAGACGATTTATCATTTCTAATCAAAATTTTATTATTGAAGAAATTTTAAGAATTTCACGAAAAACTAATAATACTTAGATTAATACATGTATAATTACCCAAAAAAAATTCAGGAATTCCCTACCACATAATTTTTTAGAAATCATTGATAAACTAGTAGTAAAGTAAACAAAAAAGTCATACGTGGAAGTAAGTGAGCAATAGCCCGTAAGAGAGGCGACATTAGCGAATGAAAAAACGAGCAGTAGCATAAACTATATAGGTTGGGAAAGAACTACCTTAAAAAAAAAATGAATAATTAATTAAGCGGCTAATTACGACGGACATGCTGATGAATGCAAGCATCCGGGAAATTTATCCGGCGGATAGATACCATGCACCGCATGATACCCTAAAAGCATACCGCAAAAGCTTTGGTTTGATGGGAGCAGACCGCGATGCACGCGAGTTGATTACACAATGAAAAGGCCAACAGTATTGTATTGAGGATGGACATCACCGAGTGAAGCTCTTCTCTCTTTTCGTGTTTATCACAACGAGTAAACCTTTAGCATCTCGCGAACAATAATGTTATCGCGTTTCTGGTCACCCTCGCAGCGCATTTTCCCCCTGGCTCTCCCTCACTCAGCCCCTCTGGAACTGCAAACTCCCTTTGCGTCTCAGGTTGAACGTACATGTGCGCTTTGTAGTTTCCAGTGGAAGAGGGCTGAGGGCTGAGGGTGGAACTGTATCATGATTGATCTTAATCGATTGTGAAAGCTGGTACACTGATTCCCAGTGACGCGCGATGCATTGCCAGTCTGTGCACAACAATACATACAGCAGATGACGTTTATAGCACAGTATTTTCATTACTCTAACGCTATTCGGTGCATGGACTGTGCTGGATTTCTACGACTACTGCTGCCATGACTGCCGCTATTGTGCCCAGGACTATCCTCGTCCTCTATCCTCTATAAAAGCATCAAAGTTTAGTGTTATACCCATACCCAGTATACAGCGCTCAGGATAAATCTATATAGAAAGCACAGCTTACTGTGCGTGTCCAGGGTAGTGTTAGGCTCAACTGAAGCTGTTCCACTCTCTATCTCGCGTGCGTGCGTGCATGGACTTTTGCACACTATCAAGGGGTAGTTCGATCGATAGCCCACAGCGCATGACCGCTATTTCGCCATTCGCTGCTCATCCGTTATCCAAACTCTCTTTATTTCTCATCTCTAATGCTCTTCACGGGCAACTTGGACTGCTACTGTTATTATCATTATTAATATTATTATTATTATTATTATTATTATTATTATTATTATTATTATATGTATTATATGGTTCTGTGCACCCCAACTTTCTGAGATTCGGGATTGGCAAACTTGTTGCCCAAAACGCAGCTAATTACTCTTACAAATAGTTTGATGTAGGAGCTTTTGGAGTTTAAATTTGTTTTGAAGGGTTTTGGTGTTTTGGAGGACCAAGAGAACTGATAAGGAGATTTTGGGGGTTGGATTTTATTTTTGGAAATAGGATTAATTAGTTTCTTAATAGGTTTTGTAAGTTACTTCATAATTGGCGATTAGGTTTTGTTAATTGGGTATTAGTTTGAATGGAAGTTTGAGAAAATTTATTTATAGAAAATTTCGCGGTTTATACTGAATTTTTTATAAACTTAAAGCTCTGACTCAATTAAGTTGAGTCAATATTCGTGAATTTTAATGTTTGTTGAAGGTAAATTTATCGATTATCTGACACTATTTATGTTTGCAAATAGCAATTTATATTTATGCAATTATAGAAGAAGAAATATCAGCTATTTTTGATTTTATCTTTTGTTTGTACAATATTTAGTTTTTTAGAAAATTATATGACATTAAAGTTAGCTGTCACCTGACCAATTTTTAATTTTATTTAACAATTAAATTAATTATAAAAAATTATTTTAAAAAATTGCATTTTTTATTTTTTTTTAATTTTTAAATGTCAATTTTTTTTTCTTATTTTTTTTTTTTGGCATATTTTAATTGTTAACAAAAATTCTAAAAATTATCAAATATCTGCTAAATTAATTTTCATAAAATTATATATATTTATCTTGTATTTAACGATCTTATTTTTTATTTTTATTCCATATGTTTTATAAATATAAAAATTAATTAAGCTTTCTTAATATTCACAAATTATAATTATTTGCTGATAAAAAAAAATTTTTTAACTTAATAAAATTTACTTAAATCAATAATAAATTTTTAGTTAATTGAATTTGTCTCAAAAATTCTCCTTTATTTAAAAAATATAAATTCTAAATGATTTTTTTGATCCAAGATTTTTTCTTTTAAATAAAATTAAATTTTCCATTGGTGTAACTTTAAAATATTTTATTTTAGAAAATTTTTATTAAAAAAAAAACCATTTCGTGTCACGAAAAAATAATAAAAATTTTTGTTGAATTAAAACAATATTTGATTAAATTCTTTTATCTTCTGTGCATGAAAATTTTTTACGATAACTAACTTTAAATAAACCTGTTTCAGTCCCCATATCTCACGTGGTGGCAATCGTCGGGGACCCGACGTACCTGCCCTGCGACATATCCACGAGCGATGAGGGCGACTCTGTCCACCTGGTGCTTTGGTACCGCGAGGACCTCGGAGCTTCTGTCTACAGCATCGACGCCCGGGACCGGGACTTCGACATCGCGGAGCGATGGTCCGACGACGCGGTCTTCAGCAACCGGGCGTACTTCCGCCCAGACAAGAAGCCAGCGGAGTTGGGGGTTGATAGGATCCGCGAGGAGGACGCCGGCATTTATCGATGTCGCGTGGACTTTCGCCTCGGACAGACCCGTAACTCCAAAGTCAATCTAACAGTGATAGGTGAAATTAGATTTAAGTTCATTAAGGAAATAGAAAATAAATAAAAAAATTTAATTTAATCAAGTTACATTTACTTAAATCAAGAAAAATTTCTCAGTTGAATGTAATTCTTAGAATTACATTTTTATTTTTTTTTATATCAAAATAACCAAAACTTTAAAAATTTTAAAGGACTATTTTTTTACAATTTAAGTATACAAAAATAATTAAAAAAAAAAATTATTTCAAGAAATTTAAAATTTTTTGAAAATTAAATCAAGCCAGAAAAATTCTTCAAAATAATTTTCTTGATTTTAAATTAATATTTTTTTTTTATCAGTATTTATCATTTTAACATATGGCGTTACTAATGCCAAAAGGGCGTATCTAATAATTATAAGCTTGATAATAATACCCGTAAAAAATCGCCAGAAATCTGCTAGTAATATGATAGCGATAATCGCTTGTAAAATTAACCGCGCTAACTGATATCCTGGCGTGTTCTTACGGTAGATTAATTTTTATTTAAAAATAAAAGTCAATAATTACATTCAATTATTTATTTTTTAAATTTAAATAAGAAATTATCAAATGTGTTTTTAAAAACTAAGTATAAAAAAATTCTTAATTAAGTTTGCTTTATTTCAATAATCAAACTTATAATTTTTTTAATTTTTCATCCCTAAATTAAGATTTCATAAAAATCCAAATTTACTTTTTAAAAAAATTACTTTCATATTTTTTTTAAATTTATTAATTAATTAAATTTCTTTATATATGCATAATAAAAAAAATTCCCGATTGAAATGCTTTTAGATTTTCATTCCGATAATTTAATAAAATAATTATTAAAATTTAATTTGTACTTTTAATGATAAAAATTTTTATTAACATGATTGCTTTTATAATTTTTTCATAAAAATAATTACTATTCTATTAAATAATGAATCTAACTACTCTATTCTCTCTATTTGTGTATTATTTGGTCTATTTGAGTGATATGGACAATATCCATTACACATTACCCATAAATAACTTATTGTCACTTAGTTAATTGGGTTATTGATTCATTAGCTTGAAATTAATTCATTTGATTTATTGGTGAATTATCAATATCAATCAATTGCATAATTGAATTAATAACAAAAGGATTATTTAACATTATGTCCAACAGTTCCGCCAAAAAAGGTCGTCATTATTGACGAGAACGGCATCACCAGGGACAAACAGGTCGGACCGTACCTCGAGGGTGACGACCTGGAATTACATTGTGACGTTTACGGCGGTAAGCTACTTATATTACTTATTTCTTCCGTTGAATTGTTTGGTGGAAAATAAAAATAAGTATTATCATGGGAGAAGAATAATGTAAGAATATATCTAATAGTAATAATAATAATAATAATAATAATAATAATAATAATATATAGATTGATGGTAGAATAAAAGTATATATAATAAGTATAGATTTATCGAGTTATGTAATATTTTGTAATATATTTATGAAAGAGTTAATATTGTCGATACAGGTAAGCCGCCGCCATCGGTAACCTGGTACCGCGGTCATAAATTGATCAGCAACAAACCAGAGGTCATGAGAGAGGGTGTGCTCCGCAGCACGATTCTAATAAAAAATTTAGGACGCCGAGACGTCCAGTCTGAGCTGACATGTAGCGCAAACAATAATAACAGATCTATACCCTTATCTGCTACCGTCCGGATCGACATGACCTGTAAGTTCTTTGTATAATTTTTATTATTATTATTATTATTATTAATTAAGTAATTATATTTTAAGATTTAAATTTCTTCTTTAATTTTTGATGGTGATTAATAATCAATAAAATTGTGTAATAAAAAAAAAGAGTAATAAAATTAATGCGGGTAATTGATGGATATTATTAAATTAAAAGTAAATATTTGTTTTATAAATGTAAATCAATTTAATTAACAATTTTAAAGTGGTCATTAAAATTGTGTATTGAAAAAAAAAAAAAATTGTGGATAGAGTAAGCGCATTCATTCGGTTGATATTGATATTGAATTAAGTGAATAAATTCATTCAATTGATATTGAGTTATCTAAATATTTTTATGAGCTAAATTAATATCCATTTAATTTTTTATTGAAAAAATTTTAAATAATTATTCGACAGTTTAATTAGCAATTTGTCTCTCCTTATTTTTTAGAGGGTGATTTTTTAACACTTTAATGTAGCAATAATGCAATTACAAATTATTTGGATCATTCAAACCTAAATATTATATATCTATTAGATAAAAGTGATAATAAATTTTGAACTAGTTGTTTTTTTCGTATAAATAAAAGATTCTCTAAAATGGAGTTAGACAATCTGCTAATTAGAACGTCGATTATACTTTTTTGTCTAAAAAATCAAATTGATAAAAATAATTTTTAATAAATGCGAATTTCAAAATTAAAACAGATATTGTTTAACGTAGTTCACTCGAAATATATATTTTGTGCTTCTCTCACGAATTATCTCTTATTCACTTTTATTAATGATTATTTTTATTTAAGTAAAAGTTTTTTGAAACGATTATTTTTATTTAAGTAACTAAGAAGTTTTTTGAAACGATCTTAAAATCCTTTCAATAAAATAATTATTAATATTAATGATTTTTTCACTTTCCACCCATAAAGTCTGTGCTAAAATGTCATTTTTAATTACACAGTAAAAAATTCTGCGTTATTACGTCAAAAAACTTAGTGTTAAAAATTATTGAGTTAAATATTTATGTGTAAATTTAACATTTCTTCTGTTAAATCAACACGAAAAAGTGTTCAATATTTAATATAATAAGACAAGAACCTGTATAACATGTTTATTTTGTACTTTTTCAGTTTATTCTATTTGTACTTAAATTTATACTCTAAATCTATTTTGTTTAACTATGTTACACACTATACTACATTTATTATTACTTTTATATGGAACCCCGTTATTGGCAATAGCTGTTGGGTTTACAGTTTGATGAATAAATAAATATAAAAATTTTTATTTTTTGATTTTTTTTTTTATTAATTAAATTACAACTAAAAAGACATTTCTAAAAAATTGCAGTCATAGTTTTTCAAGTTTTTTACATGTGACAATTTTTTTTTTTTTTTAATTGTTTAATTGAAATTTTTTCAATAAAAAATTTCTAAAAATTCTGAAATGTCGGCTAACTTCATTTTCATAAATTTTTAACACAAAATTTTTTGACGCAAAATTTTTTACTGTGTACAATTATCTTATTTCTGATCAATGGATTTCAAATTTCAACAGCCTATGTAATGCGTATTCAATTGCCCATATTTCAAATTTATTCTTAAAATTTTGCATTTATGACCGAGAGCTACCTTAAAAAAAAAAAAATCAATAAATAACATTTTTTTCCAAAATAAAAAAATTCCACTATCCAAAAACTAAACCAACTAAACTTTTTAAAAAAGTCGGGCCATTGGATGTAAAAATAATCGGAGCAAACCAGCCTCTATCATCGGACAAGAGATACGACTTGGTGTGTGCTACATCGGGTTCACGACCTCCAGCCCTGGTGACTTGGTGGCGGGATGGCCAGCGCCTGAACGACTCAAACGAGACGACGTCCAACGACGGGAACGTGACAACAAGCGTCCTGTCATTTGTCCCGAGTAAAAGCGACGCTGGCAGACACTTATCGTGCCGAGCGGAAAATCCGATAATGGGAATGGGCCCAATAGAAGACGAGTGGGTGCTGGAGATCCAGTACAGACCAGAGACGCGGATCCAATTGGGAACCTCTCTGAACAGGAACGCGATTCGCGAAGGCACCGACGTCTACTTCGACTGCCTGATAAACGCCAAGCCGGGGGTTTATAAGGTCGAGTGGCGGCATGACAACCGCACTCTCCAGCACAACACCACTCTCGGTATAATTATAAGCAACCAGAGCCTGGTTCTCCAGGGCGTTGAGAGGAGGAGCGCCGGGAACTACACTTGTGTCGGGTTTAACACCGAGGGCGACGGCGAGAGCAAGCCCTTCCACCTAAACGTAATGTTCGCGCCGACGTGCAAGCCCAACCAGACGAAAATCCACGGAGTGGCCAAGCAGGAGAAGGCCAACATTTCCTGCCAGGTCGACGCTAATCCCCCGGTTGTAGAATTCCGGTGGACGTTCAACAACTCGGCGGAGAGCATCGACGTCGCCGCTGGTCACATCATCAAGTCTGGCACCTCTTCCGTCGTTTCGTACACGCCCATGACCGAGCTGGACTACGGAACGCTCCTCTGCTGGGCGAACAACGCGATCGGGAACCAGCTGGTGCCTTGCGTCTACCACATAATACCCGCCGGACACCCGGACATGGTCCACAACTGCACCACCCACAACGCCTCCACCAGCTCCTTCTCTCTGAGGTGCGCCGAGGGCTTCAACGGCGGCCTCCAGCAGTTCTTCCTCCTGGAGGTCCGGGAGAGCAACTCCCAGGAAATCCGCGCCAACTTGACCTCCAGCACTCCCCAGTTCAGTGTCAGCCATCTCGAGCCCGGGCTACTCTATCATGCCTGCGTTTACGCGTTCAATGAAAAAGGCCGCAGCGAGCCCTTGGTCGTTCAAGCCGGCACCCTCAGGCTCCCCGAGAAGCAGTTGACTTCTGAAACAGCCGGAAAATCAAGAGGTGAGTATAGTAATTAAATAACTTTTTAAGTGTTTCTAATTTGAATTTTAAATTTATGCTAATTTTAAACGCTTCCAACGATTTTTTTCTTTCACATTATATATAATATGCTTCACTCTATTTAACGTTAAAGATGCTAATCATTGTTTTTTATTGTTTTTACGGGTTGTTATTTGTTTTGTTGAGGATATTTATCGTGTAAATTAATATCCGTGTTTTTAGTTATTTCAAAGTGTGGGATCTATTTATTGCGGAAATATAATTATCATATGGGCTGTTAAGTCCCGTTAAATGGGAAATTTAATGCATTTTCGAATTATTTCCAAACATGCTCTTCATGCAGTTTAATTAATTTCGAGAGTGTAATGGGTGTAAATATTCGAATATATTCTGTTTTATTTGAGAAGGTTTTTTTTTTTTTCGTATGTCAAAAGTTAACACGTGTTGTCGGAAAATTGAAGATACTTTTTTGATGAAACTGCAGTTTTTATGAATATCTTGTGATTCATGAGTCTTAATATAAGTGCGGTTTCGAGAAAAATAGTTTAAGGAAATAAACTTTGTTTGAGAAATACTGAAAAATATTATGTATGTTTTGATAAACAGTAATGTATGTCGACGTTCTAATTAGAAAATTGCCTAACTTCATTTTAGAGAATCTTCTATTTGTACAAAAAAAAACAATTAGTTCAAAATTTATTATCACTTTAAAAAACCATTTAATATCATTATTATCTAATAGAGATACAATATTTAGGTTTAAATCATTCAAATAATTTATAATTTGATTATGGCTACATCAAAATGTTAAAAAATCACCCTCTAAAAAATAAGGAGTTAGACAAATTGCTAATTAGATCATCGATGTTATTAAGAGAATAATTATAATTTTGTGGGCAGTGTATTTATATAATAAAAAGGGTTTTTATGGTTAAATTTGGTATCGTTGGAAAAGTCTTGATCTAGAGTAGTGCTTTTTCATGGTTTCATATCATTCTCACCAATAGTCAATTTATGATGATAATAAGTATTTAGGTTGCATACGAAAATTTATCTCTACATACATAATTAAGGAATGACCTTGTATCTTGTAAACTATTGACATTTTTAAAGATATAAGCTCATCCTGATGTTACACTCATTAAGACCTTTCATTTGAGTACCCGCATCAATTTTTCATATATTTTATATATTCATATATATGTATATATGAAAAATATATAAAAATGCATGTGGGTACTCAAATGAAAGCTCTTAATGAGTGTGACATCAAGATGAGCTTATATATATTTAAAAACGTCAATAGTTAAGACAATACGAGGCATTTTAACAGATATCTTGTAAACTATTGACATTTTTAAAGATATAAGCTCATTCTGATGTTACACTCATCGAGACCTTTCATTTGAGTACCCACATCAATTTTTCATATATTTTATATATTCATATATATGTATATGTGAAAAATATATAAAAATGCATGTGGGTACTCAAATGAAAGCTCTTGATGAGTGTGACATCAAGATGAGCTTATATCTTTAAAAATGTCAATAGTTAAAAAAGTACAGTGCAATTTAATAAAAATCATTATTTAATAAAGCAAAATTTTATTTATTTATAGTTCACGTCACGGCAGTCACATAGTGACTGCAAGGTTGATAGTTGGTATTTATAAAATAATTTTTTATTTAAAAAAAAATAGACAAAGAATTAAGAAAAAAACTTTTAAGGAAAAATTATCTAATTGTTTATTTGAATAAGTAATAAAAAATTTAAGAGTACCGAAAAAGAGAAATATTACAGCTACTGTTGGAAATGAAACAGCCGAATTACGCGTATTAAAAGGTTATTTAATTACTTCGTTAATTACAGCAATATTTACTGAAACTGGTTCATCTGTTTTATCATTAATATCGTTATTAAAAAAGACTTTTATTACATCACCGTTTTCCAATCTTTAAACCGATAAATTGATTTTATATTCATGATTGAAAAACGCGTTTCGATAATTAAATATTCCAAATGTTCAGACCTATCATCCGTTCATTTATTTACAATTCGATAGCATGAAAAATCGAAAACATATAATTAAAATCTGGACAGCGAACAATATTTATTCGACAGATTTTGCCAATAATTATGCGTGATAATTTGGGTAAACAAAAAGCGAATACTCGGTGATTTTAAAAGATTATTATAACAACATAATGATATCATCGTCGCATAACATACAAATATTAGTTACTACGTTAACTGTACGATTGAATATATCAACTATAATTGCATATACATCACGTTGTCCTGCTTTCAACCGCTGTTTTGACAAAATTAACTGCTCAAGTTCCAGGCGTTCTATCGAAAATCCACTTATCCTGTTACCATGTTTTATAAATAACTGGTACAAATATATTTGTCATAAAGAAATATCGAATAGGACGATTTTCGTTTTAGATATATTTTATTTATTATTTTGGTAGAAAATTAATTTTTATCTGATTTATATTTTTGGTTTTTAAATAAATTATTATTTATGTCAATTAAAAGTATAAATTAATTTATCAATAATTGGTAAAGTATTTTATTTTTTAATTTATTATTGAAGAAATAATTTTAAAATGGAAAATAATTTTTATTGATTTTCGATAAGTTTCAAATAATAGATTAATTTAATTTCTTATCAGATAATCATCAAGTGCTTGATATTGATTTTAATAAATATTTTATTGGAAGATATTTGCAAACTTGGAGTTATATATTATGAAAATATCTCAAAAAGCACCCACGTTTTTTATTTTATAACAAAATAAATTTTTTTAATTTTTATTTTAAACAGTAAAAAATAATAAAATTTTCTTTATTAAAACTAGCAACCTTGCAGTCACTATGTGACTGCTGAGACTTGAAAACTATAAATAAATAAAATTTTGCTTTATTAAATAATGACTTTTGTTAAATTGCACTGTATTTTCTTAAATATTGACATTTTTAAAGATATAAGCTCATCCCGATGTTACACTCATCAGAGCTTTCATTTGAGTACCCACATACATTTTTATAATATTTTTCATATATACATATATAATATATATATA